GAGTAAACGTTCGAGAGCGACTAGAGTATCTGAGAAACACGGAGCAAACCGCTCGAAAGGGACTAGAAAAACTGATCGAGAGCGACTAGAGTATCTGAGAAACACGGAGCAAACCGCTCGAAACGGACTGGAGAATTTGAGAAACAGGAGTAAACGCTCGAGAGCGACTAGAGTATCTGAGAAACACGGAGCAAATTGCTTGAAAGGGACTAGAAAAATTGATCGAGAGCGACTAGAGTATCTGAGCAACAAGGAGCAAACCGCTCGAAAGGGACTAGAGAATTTGAAAAACAGGCGCCCGAGAGCGACTAGAGTATCTGAGAAACAAGGAGCAAACCGCTCGAAAAGGACCAGAAAATTTGATCGAGAGCGACTAGAATATCTGAGAAGCAAGGAGCAAACCGCTCGAAAGGGACTAGAAAATTTGATCGAGAGCGACTAGAGTATCTGAGAAACAAGGAGCAAACCGCTCGAAAGGAACTAGAGAATTTGAGAAACACGGAGTACACGCTCGAGAGCGACAAGAGTATCTGAGAAACACGGAGCAAACCGCTCGAAAGGGACTAGAAAAACTGATCGACAGCGACTAGAGTATCTGAGAGACAAGGAGCAAACCGCTCGAAAGGGACTAGAGAATTTGAGACACAGGGAGTACACGCTCGAGAGCGACTAGAGTATCTGAGAAACAAGGAGCAAACCGCTCGAAAGGGACTAGAAAATTTGATCGAGAGCGACTAGAGTATCTGAGAAGCAAGGAGCAAACCGCTCGAAAGGGACCAAAAAAATTTGATCGAGAGCGACTAGAACTCTGAAAAACAAGGAGCAAAGCGCTCGCAAGGGACTAGGAAATTTGATCGAGAGCGACTAGAGTATCTGAGAAACAAGGAGCAAAGCGCTCGAAAGGGACTAGAGAATTTGAAAAACAGGGAGTACACGCTCGAGAGCGACTAGAAGAGTATCTGAGAAACAAGGAGCAAACCGCGAGGTCCTGAGGCCGCCAGGGTCTGAGGCCGCGCCGCGATGTCAGGTCGTGGAGGTCTCGGGGCTGGTTCGCGAGGTCAGGTGTTGAGGTTATGACGCCCGCGAGGTGCGAGGTTAGGCCCTTAAGGTCTGCTTCCAAAAATCGTAACCCCTAGGCCCCGAAAGCTTTAGACCCTAAACTCGGAACTTTGAGAGCACCGCGGAAGGCTCAGCGTTGCGCAGTTGGAAGACGCGGCAGGTAAAGCGAGCGAGAAGGTCGCGGGTTTTCGGGCTTATGTGTTAAAGGTTTGGGGTTTAGGGAGTTTAGGGTTCCGGATTCAGGGTTTTAGGGTTTAGGGTTCAAGGTTTTAGGGTCAAGGGTTCAGAGGGTTTAGGGTTTAGGGTTCAGAGGGTTTAGAAGTTCACGGATTCGGGGGCGCAGGGCTTTGGGTTTGGTGTTTGAGGCTCTGGGTTTCACAAGTTGACGGACTGGCGGTTTAGGTTTTGGGTTTATTGAGGGTTAAGGGGTTTGCGGTTTACTTGCGGGGATAAGTGTTTGAGGGGTTTGAGTGAATCGGGCTGAGTGGGTCTTGCAGGTTGAGGGTTAGAATTTTTGCGTTTAGTTTGGGCCCTCAGTTACGCTGGAGTTTAACAGTTGCCGCATACACGCCCGAACTCACATCGGAACAGCTTCAACGGTCCAAGCTCCATCCCAAAGCCCCTGAGCTCTCCAGCCACCTCCCTACACCCCAAACGAACCCGACACCCGACGCCGGATAAACCCTAAACTCTAGTCGCCCTAGAATCTTCCACTGAAGCCCTCATGAGGCTCGTATAGGGCCTAAATACTTGCCAGCACGATTCTGGGGTTCTTTCTTCTAACCATAGTATCTTCAATAAGTACCCATACCATGTTGTTATAAACACAGCATAAATGCACCGAAGCGCGAGGTGGTCGCAGAGGAGTTCTTGCGGCTGGGGGCCGCGCAGGTCCGAGCCGCCCAGGCGCCTCGGAACCCGAGCTTGGACGGTGGATTTCATAGCCAAACTACTGCAAAGCCGAGAGCCGAAACGCGATAACCGCACAAAATCCCTGAGCACTGGAACCGAAATCCCCTAAACCCCTACATGTTAGAGCACCTGAACCCTAAGCCCCAAACCAACAGTTTGGGGTTGGGGCGTTCTGCTTTTGAACCTCTCCTCGACTTTCGACTTCGACTCAGGTGCAAGTTCAAGACATGTCCATGATGGACGATCTTTGGCTGGAGGTGGGTTTTCCCAGAACATTTCCAGTCTCGCATGATTTTAAGGGGCGCAAGCATGCTTTTCTCGGAGATTCCTAAACCCTGAATCGAATCCCCACAGTAAATCCTTAACCTAAGCTGTAAACCTTTAAACCCTGCATAAGCCCCAAGCCCCACATCGCCCAAACACCACGCCCACTACACCCTGCAGCCTTCAGGTCCTAAGCCCCACACTTGTGAATCGAGTTGAGACTTTCGACGAGTTCAGGGTTTAGGGATGTCGGGTTTCGGGTTTAGGGTTTAGGGTGTCGGTTGAGGCTTTATGGTTTAGGGTTCACAGGTCAAGGTTGAGAGTTTAGGGCTTCGAGTCTAAGTTTAGGGTTTAGGGTCTGGAGTTGGGGTTTTCAGAGGCCAGTCGTCAAGGACGTGCCTGAAGCCCTGAAGGCTCCAACCTCGGGGCGCCCAAAACTCCGCAAGAAAAAGCACTAGAGTTTAGGGTTTAGGGTTTAGGGTTTAGGGTTTATGAGGGCTTTCCGCGTTGCGGTTTTGTCGAAGGTCCCTGAAAAAGCTTAAAAATAAAAAGCTTTAATCCACTTGAGAGCTTCAAAGCTCAAGCGGTCGAGCATCGATAGCCTCAGGTTCTACGAGCGAAGAGGGGTTCAATGTGAGCGATAATTAGTCTAAACTCCTGTTATCCCCTTTCATATGAATTCCCTATGTGATCCATTATATAATCCCCGGAACTTCGCCTGCAGCTCATGTGGGTTTCGTGCTTCAGAGGAGATGAAGGACACCGACTCGCAGACGGCAAGCCTTGTCATTCAGGCCACGTCCTTCAACCGTTGGGCCGTTCCCTGGCTTCCGATGATTTAGGGTTTAGGGTTTCCCTGGCTTCCTATGAGGCCCATCTCGGCATGTGCAGCTGGGATTGGCCTTGCTTGTGGTTGTTTCAGTACGGATTTGCTTCAGTACAGAGCGGAGGATGCAACGCGGGGCGTAGCTGTGTGGTTCCAGGAGCCTCGGGGATGCATTTAAAGGTTCTAGGAGCTGCCGGGTTTGTGGTCTATCGCCTTGAACTTAGAATACGTGTTCATGTCAATGGCTTCTTTACTTATTTCGAGTTTTCTGGGGTTGGGGCCTTGCATTAGCAGTGTTGCTTGTGTGCGCAAATGTGGCCCTTGCCCTACACTCCCAAACCCTCAACCCTCAAGCTTGAGGTCATCGAGCAAGACCTGGCCACCAGTGCCGAGATCCTGCGCCCTCCCAGCTCCGTGGTGGACATGGAGGAGCCGGAGCAGAAAACCTGATATGACAAGACAGAGAGTTTCCACTCATCGGCAACCTCGACATAGACTTGAGAATACGATACGGAAGAGAAGCTGAGAAAGACAAGCACACAGGCCCCAAAGGGACTACAGAATACGTGAGAAAGTGGAGCACGCCCGTTGAACGGGACTGGACGTTTGAGAGGCAAGAGCAGATTGCGCAAAAGAGACTGTACAGTCTGACAACGAGACGGAGGAGCAAGCCAGTCGAAAGAAAGGACCTCAAACGTCGAGAAGCAAGAGCAAACCGCTCGAAATAAATCAGAGAGTTTGACGAAGAACGACACTTTAGAATAATGAGGAGCAGACCAGTCGAAACGGGCTTGGAAATCAGCGAAAGAGGAGCAAACCGCTCGAATGAGACCAGAATTGTTGAATGTGAAACAAACGACTTGGTCCCCATGAAGCCAACACCCGGGGGTGGCCAATGCAGGTGTTTTCTACGCTTGTCTCCTTGTCCCATGCCAGGGTTTTCGATGCGTGCCTCCCTCCCCAAGCAGTTCAGTAAACAGCTTACTGTAGGGCTTCTTGTTCATTCCCAGAGAGCTTACTAGAGGGATTCTTGCTATTTCTCCATCCAGCCAGTTTACCGCAAGAGTTCTTGTTAGTATGACAGCAAATGCTGACGTCTCGCGCTCTGTCAACGTTTCCGACACTTGTCTCCCATTGTCTTCCGTCATGTGGGCTCATGAAGTCAAAGTCAAAGCCAAGTATTGCTCTGGTTTCCCTTAGAACGGTTGGAGTCTTCGGCAGCATTGATTTTGCGGCGTTTTCTCCCACGGTGGGTAAGACCACACGCACCGCTTCAGACCGAAAATTCCGAGAGTTCCAACATTTTCAAGCGCCCTTGAGCCCGGAACGCGAAGGCCCCGCAGCTTCTCCACCCGAACACTATGCCCTGAACGTTTCATCCCAAAACCTGGTAACAGAATCCTTGCGTGGCGAGGAGCGTGCGAAGTTTGCCGAAGCACCCGGGCTTGGCCTTCTATGCCCCGCTGAAACCCAGCCCCTAAAGCCCGAAATTCGAAATCCTAAGCCCAAGGGCGTAATCCCTGAACCCTAAAACCCTCAGAGCCCCCGAAAGATCCCCAGACAGTAGGGCCTCTGCGTTTCAGGGCTGTTTTGGGGCCTGCTATGTGGTATTTAGAGCTTCAGGGTTGGAGGGCTTGAGGTTTAGGGTTCAGGGTCTTGGTGCTTGGGTGCAGAGTGGGGTCCGCGCTCGAGAGTCCGAGTTCACCCCTTTGGGCTTGTGAAGCTCGGTTTCGTTGAGGGTTTAGGGTTTAAGACCTGGTGTGCTGACGTTCGCTATGTGCTGCGGAGCTTTGTCTGACTGGTTGGCTGTCTTGGCACCTTTCCGAGACGTAGAAGACCACTGAACGCTTAGGACGTTAAGGAGAGGGCCCCGACCACATCAGCGCTTGCCAAGGTCCTGCGAGCCCAGTTCCAACTTCACCTGCTGGTTTTGTCGAAGATGTTCCGATCTCTCCACGGCGGGCGGAATGCCGTGCGCTTGCAGCAAGTCTTGGCGAGCAAGGCGCGGCGCTTAGCCCGCCTGCTCCTCCCGGACCTGATCCTCCTCAGTGCCCGGGATCTGAATCGTGAACGGCTCGGCAGCGCTCCTAACACCTCTGCGCTTTCAATGCGAGTCCTTAGCAGCCCCTTGCTCGCGCAACCCCGGATGCCAAGAGCGCTGGAGAGATGCCGAGCACTGAAAGACCTCGAGCTAAGCTACGGCAGCAATGTCGCCGAGTTCGAGTATCTGGTGATCTGCGTGTGGCTTCCCCTGTACGATGAGGAGAAGATCGCACTGCCGCTGCCAGTCAAGGAGGTCTACGCCGTGGACCTCCAGGTCCCCATCGTAAACCCCTAACGCCAAAAGCCATGAAAATGCCCAAAGCCTCAAACGCTGAAACCAGTACTGCCTCCAATACCTCTGGCCCTAAACCCTAAACCTTACCCTTATAAACCCTGAATCCCCAGGGCGAATTTGGCACAGCCTGGACCTTCTTTGGCTCCTTTCCGAAACTTGGGCTTCTGCAACGGCAAAAAGCTTTGACAAAAAAATATAGGCTTCCCGAGTGTGAGAATAGTTATCACACTCGTCAATGACGCTTTGGAGCCTCCAAAATGCGGATACATAGTGAACGCCTGCTTGAACTCAGCTCTTGAAGAAGACTTGAGGAGGGGATCCTCCGGATGGTCCGAGGGCAGCGACCACGGGCTCCGATGTGACGAGGTCGCTCGGGCATTTCAGTCTTGAGGGGTGGGACGTACTGTAAACGAATCCTCTTCTTACGGGGCTCGAACGTGTGTTTTTGGAAGGGTTTTGGGGTTTAGGAACGAGTTGTCGTTTGTATTCTGCTACAGGCTACTCTAGTTTTTGAGGCCTAGATTGCCGTCTGGGGTTTGAGGTTAGCACATTGCCATTTCTTGTGTCAGTTGAGGGGCTTGCCACGGTCCCGCCCAATCTTTTTCGTTTTTCGGTTAAAGCCCTGCCACCTCGACTCCTGCTGGGGATTTTGACTTCATAGCAGAGGCTTACATGCAAAAAGGCTCAGGACCCTAAGTCCTCAAAACCCAAAGCCCCAAAGCCCCAACCCCAACAGCCCCAGACGCCGAAACCTCTGCGATGTGGAGGCCTCGGGTGTCCAAGCCATCGTCCGCGCCTGCTCTGCCACGCTCGGCTGCCGCGGCCTGGCCGAAACACCAGGCTACACCCAAGGCCCCCTAGTCCTGAACTTCCTAACCCCTAAACCCCTATATTCCCAAACCTTCAACCCTAAACCCTACAAGCCCTAAGCCCTCAACACAAGACTCAAGCGGCCGGAAACCAAAACATTTAAAGATCCTTCAAGGGATCTCCTTTTTTCTACAGAAGATGGGAATTCCAATCTGCCAGAGCTCGCAATCACCTTTGCCAGACCTGCAGAAGCCGTGTCGAAGGATCTCTGCACTTAACCAAACCCTGAGGGCATTTCTTTCTTCAGGGTTTAGGGGTTAGGGTTTAGGGTTTAGGTTCACAAGGAGCGTCTACCACAAACTGTAAACCACAAGCCATGAGCATGAAGTCGTACTTAGCACGTTCATGAGCAACCGTTCGTAGACGCTCAAGCCGGCACCAGACAGCAACCCTGCATAACCCTGAACCCTAAAGCCTACCCTCACCAAAAGAAGCAATTCTTCGCCCCGAGAAAGGGAAGCTTTGAAACCATTCCAAGGTTTGGAGGGCCTCTGCACACCCCTGAGGGACCATGGCATTCTGCGAGCAGGGGCAAGCTTCACAACATCAGGACAAGGGTAGAAGGGAGTTTGGGAAAACCCAACATCTTCAAATCAAATTCCAAACGCATCAAAAACCCAATTCCTATAATTACACAAATTCGTAGATGAACGGTTTAGGGTGCTTTGAGTTTAAGGTTTGGGGCCTGAGGGTTCTGAAGCCTTAGCTATGATGCCATGAAGTAGGAGAGAAAGCCCTACTTCTAGCGGGATCTCCTAATCCGGATCCGAATATGCAGAATCCTTCGGTGAATAGTAATTTGATGGCGGAGCTGTTTTAAGGCTTGGTGATGCCTGTGGTCTCGCAGCTACTTCTAGGCCCCTAAGCCCTTACATGAAGCCTACCCCTGCGAAAAGGGGGGGGGGGCAGGGAGACGTTGGGTTCCAAGGGAGGTTTGGTAGTCTGGCCAATTTTTCCATTTCCGGGCTGGGCTGGAGGACTTTGCACGGACTATGTGAGCGGCGGTGTACTGGCGGCTGTGATGACCGCAGTGGAGTTTCGGCCCAACATCGGCCCTCATACCCCGGTCGAATCTGGAGTCAAGAACAGCACCTGCGCTCTGGCTTACCGCTACTCCGAGGATGACAGTGACAGGGGCCGTGCCACTTAGAATCGAAGGATTGGGCTTTGGTTGATTATCTTAGTGGTTGAAGTAGGAGCTCGGGGCTTGAAATTGGATCATTCAGGACATAGTTCAGGATTCTAAGCGCACGGTGCCCCGGGGCCACTTGCTAGATGCAGCGTGCCCGCAGCCAAAAGACAGCCCTGTTCGTGTCATTCCTTCACGGCTTACAGGAGAAGCGCCAGGCCAGATTGGAGGCTTAGAGTATCCACTTCTTCTGAGGTGATGTTCTAGCATTTGGACTTAGGTGTTTTGGATCAGTTTCGCTTGCAAGCATGTAGTTCGGTACGAAACATAACAGCAAATCGCCAGGACTCATCGAAAATAACAGCAGAATGGCGGCCGCCAAATTCTCAACGGTTCACCCCTTCATTGACCATTCAGGGTGTGCGGATTTCATTCGCCGTAGGCGTAGGCGAGGCCCCTTGGAGTTCGGCTGATGCCCTGCGACTTAAGTTCCTTGTCGCTTTGGGATCTGTCGTCTATAGTTCCACGATTTTTCTTGATTTATCTTAGAGTCGTCACGCAGTCTTTTCTATCATAATGCCTTTTTGCTTTTCGGTCGGGCCTTTTGCGACTCTTTGTCTTACGCTGACACTGACCAGTGGCCCGAAGCCGCCCCTCTCGCCGCCAAAAGCGCCATGGGAAAGGTTTGCTCTGTGCTCTCGGGGAGGCCCGGTCCGGCAGACATCTGCGCCGTGATCAAGGAGCTCTTGGGAAACCCCGCAGTATTGCCTAGAATCTTCGACCCAGGAAGCCCCAAGAAGCTTTGAACCTCGAAAGTTGAACCCTTAACCCTGGAAGCTTAAATCCGAAACCGTGAGCCGCGAGAGTGAATCAAGCACTCCTGAAGAAGAGATGATGGTGTCCCCAACGCTGAGTGGCTTGGAGCTTGGGGAAAACTGTTCAGCATGAAGGGTTCAGGGTCTCTGGGTAAGCCCCTAAACCCTAAACCCTAAACCCTAAACCCTAAACCCTAAACCCTAAACCCTAAACCCTAAACCTTTGCTTAGTGCACCTTGGAAAAAAATGCCCAGCAGCGCCAGGAGGCCGAGCACCGCGCGGAGGAGTGGGGATTGCTGGGCCTCGGAGAATCTCGCGGCTTGGATCTGAGAAGGCTAAGCAGCTAAGCCCAAACTCCTCAATCCTAAACCCTGAACCCTAAGCTCTAAACCCTAAACTTGTATTAACCACCTTAAACCGTTCCGGATTGGGGTCTGGGGGTTGCAGGGAAGTTTGCTTTTTTTCTTAACCTCTCGTCCTAAATCCTTAACCTGGTTCAGGGGCTTCGGATGCTCGCAGCCGCTGAGGTGACGTGTCTCCGAAGGCTGCCAAGCGGCTCGGGCCAGCTGTAAGAGAGGATCTCGCTCTCGGAGCCTAGTGCCCAATACTTGGGCTCAGTTAGAATTGGGGTTTTGGGGTCCACTGAGGAGCCCCAAGTGCCCAACATGGGAGCCTGACAGTTAGAATAGGGTTTTGGGGTAGTCCAAGGAGCTCCCGGGAATAGGACTCGTAGTTGCACAGGCCCAAAATCTGTATAGCTGCAGTAGGACATACCGTGCGAATGTTCACTTGAGATTCCTATTATTTGGGCGCTGCCGCTTACTACGGCCCGAAACGATTGAATAGAAATAGACAGATGACGACATCGACGGAAGGTGCCAGAGACTCAACATCCGGGTTTCTGAAACAAATTGGCTAAGGCGACTATGTCAGTCCAACTTTTACGGCACCCGTAGGATACTTCTGAAAATGAGTCATGATTGGGGTATGTCCCTTAGCCAGGAAACCAATGTAGCACACACCCGCTCCCCAGGAAATCGGTACTGTAGACTCCTCTGGTAGGGTGCATTGGGATGCGTTCGGGTATATCGGGTCATACTAGAGTTGCTAGAAAATGCGCTCAAAGCCCCAGGAAGTGTATTGAGTTCAGAAACCGCAAACTTTCAACTCTGTGAACTAGGGAATTCAGTAAGACTGAGCTAAGAAAAAGCTCAAAACCCCAAAACATCTTGAAACCCTAAACACCTAAACCCCTAAACGTCCACACCCTAACATTAAACCTACAGACCCTCAGCCCCTTAAGAAAGACGCCTCTTTCACCGAGGCAAGAGCCCCTCACCGGGGCCCGACGGAGCCTTCTCATCGGATGCAACTACGTCGGCACCTCCAACGAGCTCCACGGCTGCGCCACGGCTGCGATCCAGAGTCGCGGGTGTAGGAGCACAGGCTTTAGGGGTGCAGGGGTGTGGGGTTTAGGGGTTTAGGGGTTTTTAGGGTTTTGGAGTTTAGGGTGTAGGGGTTCAGATTCGGTGGTTTAGGGGTTTAGGATTAGGGTTCATCGGTTTAGGGGTTAGGGTTTGAGGGTGGAGGGCTACAGTGGTTTAGGGGCTTAGTGCTTAGGATTGAAGGTGTTGGGGTTTAGGGTTTAGGGTGTAGGGTTTTGGGGTCAAGGGTTCCGGGTGTAGAGGTTCAGTCGTTCAGGGGTTTACGATTTAGGGTAGGGAGTCAGGGTTTAGGGGTTCAGTGGTTCAGGGGCTTACGATTTGGGGCTTAGGAGTTCAGTGTTTCAGGGGTTTACGATGTAGCGCTTAGGGCTTACGGTTTAGGGCTTAAGGGTTCAGTGGTTCAGGGGTTTGCGATTTAGGGCTTAGGGGTTCAGCGGTTAGGGGCTTACGGTTTAGGGCTTAAGGGTTCAGAGGTTCAGGGGTTTCCGATGTTGCGCTTAGGGGGTCAGTGGCTTAAGGGTTCAGTGGTTCGGGGGTTTACGATTTAGTTCAGGGGCTTACGGTTTAGGGGCTTAAGGGTTCAGTGGTTCAGGGGTTTCCGATGTTGCGCTTAGGGGGTCAGTGGTTCAGGGGCTTACGGTTTAGTGCTTAAGGGTTCAGCGGTTCAGGGGTTTGCGATTTAGGGCTTAGGGGTTCAGTGGTTCAGGGGCTTACGGTTTAGGGCTTAAGGGTTCAGTGGTTCAGGGGCTTACGATGTAGGGCTTAGGGGGTCAGCGGTTCAGGGGCTTACGGTTTAGGGCTTAAGGGTTCAGTGGTTCAGGGGCTTACGATTTGGGGCTTAGGGGTTCAGTGGTTCAGGGGCTTACGGTAGTTTAGGGCTTACGGGTTTCGTGGTTCAGGGGCTTGCGATTTAGGGCTTAGGGGTTCAGTGTTCAGAGGCTTACGATTTAGGGCTTCGGGGTTCAGTGGTTCAGGGGCTTACGGTTTAGGGCTTA